CAATCTACAGCCACACAGGGTCATTCTCCGATCAGTGCGTGTTTTGGCAGCAAGACAGGCCTGCTCATTCTCCTTTTCCCTCCCCCTTTGCTAATTACTAGCACTCTATTGCTATAAATCATTTGCCACCCTGTTGATGGCCCCAAAGACTGGCACGCTTGATGCCCTGCGGGCAGTTCTGGATGTGCTGCTTTCTGGGAAACACATCATCCCCCTTTGCAGAGCTTCCAGGGCGTTCAGCTAAGCACACTGAGAAAGCCCTCGTCACAAAACTCCTGTGAGGAGGACTTGCTTTGAAGCCCATGAGTCTGGCTAAGCCATTCTGATGTGGACACTAGGTGCTAATCATGGAGGAGGAAGTCTAAGTTCAAAGGGCTGAGGACAAGGGACAATGAAGGACAGAGATGGAGCTAGTGCCATAATTGTGACAGACCCCTTTGAGGTTCATCAGTGATGCCACTGGCCCTATCATTGGCAGGTACGGTGTGGAAAGAGCAAATTCTCCTTTTCCAGAAGAAAAGCCCTTCTGAAAAGCCACCTGATGATGCAATAAGGCCCCTTTTGTGACAGCCAGGTCTTGTGTCATCCCATTATAACATGATGCTACAATGCAGACAGGGAGAAGTGATGATGTGACATCATCCCAGAAGACATTTTAGGGCATTTTGAGTGCCTGGCTTCAAAATCAAGAGGGCTGGAAAATTTACCAAGGACAATTCAGTTGAGAGCTGAATCAGCTGGGCTCCACCAGCCTTTTAGGAAACTGCCTCATCAAATTCAAGCCCCATGTGTTTAGTTGAATGGGCTGCTTCTGAGTCTCCAACCTGCCTGAAAGCAAGATGTTTCCACAGCAGCTAGCTAATGATAGCAACGCTTAGCATGATTACAGTGCTCTTCATCCCAGAACACCTTCCTTTTAAATCAATGCTCAAAACTCAACAGGGCAGGGAGATGTTAGCAAGGGTTAAGAGAAATGGAAATTGAGGGACAAAGAGGGAGGAGGCTGTGATTCTGATCGTTGAGGAGAGGCTTATTTGAGAGCTGAGGACTGCATCTCATAGGGAGAACAAGGTCTAACAGGAAAACTTCATGCCTAAGGCTTCTTTGAAGGTGGACAGCAACGTAAAAGCATATGTTGAGGTAAGCACCAATATCTGTGCTGAATGCCCACCCTGGACATTCAGGTAGGGGCTTTCAAGAAACAAATGAAGTTTCCCCCTGCAAAACCTTCTTTGGGTGTCCTGGGTCTCTGGAGATATCCCAGCATTTGGTACCACAAATTCCTGGTGATGTCACACCAGGATGTCTTTCAGGATGACCTCAGGAGACCAGGAAGCAGTAAAAGGAAAAATATAACAACTTCCAAGACAGAGGGGGGAGCATTTTAAAGGACTGGCTAATGCTGTGCAGGATGGCCTCAGCAGTTTGATTAGGAGGGGTATTTGGTATGGAAATCCTGCCCTTGCTCACTTGCAGTCTTTGCTTTATCTTTTAGCTTAACGGGCTACTAATTCAAACCCAGCTGTAAAGAGGGCTGACTATGAAAAAAAGTAACACTACCTGCCTGTGGAATTTAAGGCTATATAATAAAAATAATCATAAAGAAGGCGAGCCCTGTGTTTTCCATCAGACAAAAATATTTGCCATTGAAAATTCTGCTTAGAAAAGAACAATTTCCAAATTGGAAAACTCCTCAAACCCTTACATCCCAAACAGCCTCAGCAACTTTAATTTCATATCCAAGCACAAGTTTCATTTGCAATACGCATGATAATGGTGTTTAATTGGATTTATTTTTCCACACTAGGTTCCCAATGGCCTACTTTACTCCTTTTCTCAGCTCCTTGAATGTTATTTACAAATCACTCTCTGGGATTTAATTTTAATGGTAGCTTGATTTCTCCCTCCTCCCCACCTCCTTTCTTTCTTTTTTTTTTTTTTGTAGGTACTTTTCTTTAATTGTATTTGTGGATTTGCCTTTTAAATAGGCAATTGTGACTACAGCATGAGCCTGAACAATTTGCCAAGAGCAGAGCTTGATTTGCAAAAGGCAGAGTAGCTAAACGGAGCTGGTGTAACACCCAGCATTTATTGTTCTTTTCATGGGAGTACCTGCAGGTGCTTTAGTTGGGCAGGTGCTCTTTTGCAAAACAACATGGGTTCCTAATAACACTCTACCTCAAAGCTCTGCACAGACATTAACTGTTTAGGCCTCTGAACATCCCATGAGTTGAGTGCATCTTCATCATATGGCCGTAAAGCAAAGATACTACAGGGCTCGAGGCCAAGGTTTTTTAAGTGAATACGGGGACTGTTGTTGTTGGGTTAGTGTCAAACCCTGCTTTCAGATGCTGGAGCCTGCTTTCTGGAAGTGCTTTTGCAGAATCCCAAGGTTGCATCCAAGCGTCTCAGGTCGTGCTGCATGGACCAGAGGCATGCTTGGGCGGCACAGAGAGGGGAAAAACACTCAGACCCTGTTTCGCCTTCCTACCCTCTTCCCTTGAAGTGAAGCAGACAGTAACACCTCACCTGTGCATCTCTTTCCATGCTTTCTGCCTCAAATGCAGCATGATGTGACTGGCAGGCTTGGTAGGGGTGTAATGGGGGAATGGGAAAACAACGTGCTTCATTGTAAGCAGTTTGCACATCAAAAGTGAGAAAACCTCCTGGCAGTGATTTAATTTTTACCTTCTCATTTGTCCCTTCCACTGTCTCTGTAAAATTTTAGGTCTGCTTATGCTGTTGATCCAAATATGTGAGCAAAGACAGCTTAGGACAGCTTAGGACATATTTGGAGCAGGTCTGCGGACAAACAGAACCTCACTGAAGACTGTTCAGACCTGGTGAGGACACAATGTCATGGATTAAAGCTTTACTAAAGTTTGTTGCTGTTTAGTTGATTGGTTTCTGAAGAGGAAAGGGGGAAGGATGAGGAAAGTGAGCAGAAGAGACCAAATAACATGTAGACAAGAAGGGAAAGCCCTTATTTTCCTGCATTTCTGCCCTGTTTTGCCCGTCCCTAGCTCTGAGCATTTGTCAGGATGACGGAGAATGACCCGGCTAATGAGCTACTTCAACATAAAACATATACTGACCTGGAAAAGGATTGGGGAGTGTGGGTAAAACTCGCTCTAAGGGGGGAAAAAAAACAATAAGCAACATGCAGGAGAAAAGGACAAGCCACTTTTCACACCAAGCAAGCAGCAGATACAAACCTGATGGAGTTGTCCATCCCCAAATTAGATGAACTAGCGTAGGTTTCATATACAGAGCATTTTGCTAGCAACACACCTAATACACATCTACATCCCCTGGGACTGAGAGTCAAAGAGAAGTCATTTGAAAAACTAAAGAAACAATATCCACACAGCAAGAGGGATTAAGCACCTGCAGTGAATGTGATTGGAGCTGATGGGCCATATCTCCCCTCTGACTTTCAAGACCACTCATGTCATCACAACACAGCTCCTTTTAGCTACACCTCTGGCTGGAAGCTAGTCTTAGCACAGAGGTGACTTGTGGAAGTCCTCCATGGGTAGCTGCTGCCTCACCGGAACGTTCTCCGCAATGGATTTCTTGCCAGTGACAGGTTCCCTGAGGATCTGGGCATGGGATCAATCACCCTGGTGAATCCTCAAGGGCACCCTGCTTCTTTTGAGCTTTTGTCTTGTGAGACGAACACAGGTTTTGCAGACTCATCAAGCTCGAGTTGTACACAGCCTGCTGCTTTGTTTATAGGGGTTTTACAATGCGTCCTTGGTACACGTCACAGCAGGACTTTGTTATACATCACTGCTGGCTTCACGCCTTGCTTCTTCCTCACAAGGATCTCAGGAGTTGCACAGACACTGATGGACACTGGTGTCAGAGACTTCAGTCTGAGGCTAACAGTACTGTTAATTCCATTTTACAGGTTGTGCAGTTGATGCACAGAGCAAGGAAGCAATTTGCCCAGGGTGAATGCTGAACTGTCGGCAGAGCCTGGTGCAGAACCAAGACTGACTGATCACTGGGTCTCCTTTCATTACCTTCAGAACTTGCTGGATGCCTTATACTGACTGAGACAAGTTCCTACTCATGGACTGATTAGGAGGTAGACATTTAGCTGTAGACATATGCCACTATGCAACAGCTGATAGGCCTGGGGCATGGAGTTGTCTGCTGGCTTACCTGTAAGTACGGTGCTAAGACGACTGCTGATGGACATAGAGCTTGGCAGGATGCAATGGTACCTGGATCCAGGCCCAGCTATTTGGAGGCCAATGCTCTTTATACAGCACCCTTGGTGCAAAGATCTCCTTTCTGACTCACTGGAGCCCATGGGGACATAGCAGGTCAGGCCCACCCCTGTGACACAGGCAGATCTCCTGCCCTCTGGTCTCATGGTGATAATAGAGCTGTTTGAATCCACAGCAGGCACCAGAGGAGATTGTCTCTTGCCTAGGAAATACACAGCTAGCCTGGATCCCTGCGTTTATGTAGCAACAGGGGACTATTGTTCTGCGAAAGCAGGCTGTTGTGCTGACATGACTTCCTTGTTATTTAGTTTGTTTAAATAACTCAACTCCCCTTTACCTCCTTCCCACACAGCAGGCTGCAGACTGCACAGCATAAGCAGTTAAAGCAAAGCACTACAGCCTCATTATCATGCTGCTTTCTATTCAAGGACTCTGCCTCTGTTCCCTTCACCTGCTGTGCCCTGCCTTTATTGCTCCACCTTGGCTCATTAGCCGTGTCTCAGCCTTGCCCTGTCTGGCTGTCACCCCAACCACTTGCCCCCTTCTCCAGGGTCTCCCCGTTACTGAAAGCCCCTGTGAAAACATGAGGGTTGCACTTAGAGCCACAGTGATGCTCCAAACCTTAGCAGCAACCACCATAAGCAAATGCTCAGGTGCCACAAGGCATGGGCATAGAGTTAGGAGAAGGGGTGTAAGTGTGTGCTGTGTGTGCCAGGGCACTAAAAGATGACGACAAGTTAGCTGCCAGTGCCAGCAATTCTTAGGAATGCACCTCTTGCTGCAATCAGAGCTGTGGGACTGTAATGATAACTCTACCCGAAGCCTCTTGAGGAGGGAAGGGTGGGATCCTGTCTGCTGCTGCTGCTTCTAATTGGCATAGACCTTGCCAGCTGCTGCTTCATCTCTGTGTTTCCTTACTCCCTGAAGGGTGCAGAGGATGCAAGCCGCAGAGGATGCGACAGGGGACCTGCTGAGGTGGCAGTCTCCTGTAACTGAGACAATTTAGCCAGCAGAACTGCATGAGGATGTGTGGCATGGCCCTGTTGTCTCCTGTTTTATCCTCTGGGATAGGCTAGCTCAGTGGGAGGCAGGAGTCAACTCATTTGGGAAAGCTTTCATTTCTTTTCTGTGTCTTGCTAGAATGCACCAGGCGCTTCTATGGTGCTTCTGTGCCTGCTTCTATGGGCCTGTGTGTGTGTGCTTGTACACCACAGAGGTGTACGTGCATGTATACATACTCACACACACATAAGCCTATGTGTATATATGCTTGTACAGCAGATGTGTATCTGGTACATATACACATATTTACACTTGTGTGTAGCATGGGTTAAGACACGAATTGAGACTTTTAGTCATAATGCTTTTCATAGCACTCTGTCAGCGGAGTGGAATGAAAAGCAGCACGTTCCCTCTCTCCTAATACACTTAGGAACAAAACCCTTTCCCTTCAGTTGTGGCACTACTTCTCACCTCTGTTGCTCTGTGATGGCAGCCCTGGCTTGGCCTTTCTGTCAGCTAATTTTCAGAGAGGTCTGTTTTACTGCCCCTTCCCTAGGGCTCACTGTATTTTGTGCTGTTCCCAGGCCCTGCAAAGCTGAATCAACCTATTCACTAATGCTGCAAAACATGGTCTTGCCTCCCAGCTCCTCATACCCACAGATGTGTGACATGGCTTCCCCTCTTGCATGGGCTCTGGCGCTTGTTGAGCCTTGCCATGAACTAATTCAGCTCAGTACAGCAAAAGAAAATGCTTGGTGGCATTTTGGGCAGTGGTTTAGCAGGTTGAACTGGCTCAGTGGGTTGGCTACCAGAACAAGGGAAACAACAAAAGCACCTGGCAGAGAGGAGGGTGCACAAAAGGAGTGGGGAAGGAAGGGATGGCAGCAAGCTGCTAGATCACTTGTATCACCAGAGTGTACCCTCTCTGCAAACATATTCCATATTGCTGTTGGAGAAGGGTTCCTGGGTAAGACAGACCTTTGGTATGGCCATTTTGATGTCATTGTAAACTCCAGGAGTGAGGGATATAAATCTCTCAACCTACAGCAGGCAATCCTGCTGCTACATCCTTTAAAGAAGATCACTGGCTATCTATTCATACAGCTCAAGGGAGCTGCTTTTGTATTTTAGTGTATCTTCTACCTATGGCGTTGACATCCAAGGCACTCAGCCTCTCCCAGAGTTTTTCAGTGCTGGCTGAGGTTCCCTGGAACAGCAGTTGCCCATTTTCCTCTGCTGCTAAACTATTCTTTCACATCATTTTGCTACCTCCCCTTCTGTCCTCCACCTCAGGCAAAGCTGCCAGTGTCTTCCTATTAACTCTCTGGTTGTTCCTTTACTCCCGGGTGCCATTCTTCTTTGTGTTGCAATTGGACACTGAGAAACCATTGCTGTATCTGCCTCCTTAGTGGGATGTTGCCCTACGGTGAGCTTGCTCTCTGTTTGAAAAAGAACCAAAATCTCTGATTCTAAGGATGAAAAACACTCCCAAGTATTTGAGTATCTGCTGTACCTTGCAAACACTTGGCACTGCTTTATTTTTCTCCCTAGGTGTGTAGCTGGGGGTGTATTACCTGTTATTTCAGCTACTGCATGAGCACTACAGCATTTTTTCCATCAGGGCTTATGCTGCTTTCTTTATGAGGCTGGATTCCCTTCATTCATTTCCCCCCTGATTTCTTAACCGTAGAAATTCCAGCTTCAGTCTGCCTGAATTTACTTATTTTTCTCTCTTTTTCTCTCTTCCACACTAACTAGAAGGACTACAGAGATTTCCTGAAACAATATGAAGCAATTGCACACTGAAGACACAGGGATTAACTAAGCAATAAAAACAAGAGTTAGAAACAGCCCACTGGAAATCATCAGATTTCTCTGCACCTCCATTCTTCTGGCTCTGATGTTTTCCAGCATAAACAGGACTTGAATTTCTTAGGTGAAAATGGTAACCAAAATCCAACAACTTGAAAGAAGGAAAGTTTTCTTCATATGCATCAAAAGGGACTAAATAGGACCCTTTCTGTTGCAAGTTATCTTTTATAGTTGCCACATTTCCTCCTGGAAAAGTCAACAGCAACTTGGCAAGATCTCCCTGGGTGTCTTAAGGTTCTGCCGCTCATTTTACAACCATGGGTAAATCACTTCTTCACTCTGTACCTTAGTTTCCTACTGCAAAATGGTGCTAATAACACCCGTTTCTAAATAACTTGTGATGTTAAAATATTCGTTGCTAGCAAATCCTTTGAGATCCTTTGAGGTGAAGCTCTGAAGTCATGCAAAATGCTTCTCCAGCAAAACCAGCCCCCCAGCTAAAATCATGTGTGCATACATACATTATTGAATTTTGTCTCATATTTTGTTTCAGTGATGCATTTCAGCTCATCTGTGTAACAGGAACCGAAAGAGAGGGCCAAATTTAGATTTCAGCCACAAATAATGGATGCTAAACTTAGCGTTATATTAATATCAGCAAGAACAAATCTGGAGTATTTGGAAATTGTGTTCCAGATTGCTGCCTGAGGATTTTATTTGAATCTCATGACAGTCACAAGACCAGGGTGAAAAGACTTTCAAAGTCTAAATTTGCTTTGTGTGCTGCAATGCCACAGGAAATCAAATAGATGTTCTTTTATGGTAATATTTGTTCTTTATAAAAGAAGCCCCACAGAATACATCCAGATTTTGCAAAACTTCAAATTGCCATGAAATGAATCCAGAGGTGGTAAACAAAGAATGCCACTGGATTTACCCTTTGGCACTACATCTGTTAAAACATAACCAGACCAAAACATCGCTTTTCTGATGATTAATCTGACCACACAGAGCAGAAACTGGACTAAACTGCATCACATACTAATACTGCTTTACACAGCTTATCTGTTTTTCTGTTTTAAAGGACATTCACGTCATGGCCTGAGTGTTTTAATTCAGTCTGGGGCTGTCAGAGGAAGACAGCCCTAAGCCACTTTTTCCATCTTTATGTCCATTCGTGTGAGGGGGTCATTCTGCTGCAGTCTATTTCCCGTGGCAATAACAATGTGTGGTCCATGTTAAGCCCAAGTTTTGGACCTGGAACTAGGAACTGTCTTTTGAATACACCACAGTTCGTACCTGTGTCTGGGTGGTAGGTGAGGGGCTCCTTCAGGGTCAGCTTTGAATCAGCTGCACAGTTCAGAACCAGCAGGTAACCCTCCTCTAGAGTTTGTTCTAGTCCCAGCTTCTGGCTGTTTACACTTACTATGACCAACTCAGTAATTGAAAGGTAGCAGAATGAGATTTTATTCCGTATTTCATCTGCTGATTACCTTTCCCTCCATGTTCCTGACGGTATGCCCCTTTAAATCATTCTGTCCTTTCTCACTTCTTTTCCTTCCACTTTCAAACCCATTTCTCTTTTTCTTGACTCTCTCTTGTTCTCCTCAGGCTCAGTGGCTAGTTCTCTCCATCTCTCTGAATTACTTGTCATTTTTCAGCTCTCACAGACCCTCTGAGCCCTGGCCTTCTGTCTCCTAAAGGGGCTGTCATTCTAAAGGGGTTTTTGTTTCCAGCTTTAAAACAAACATGTTTTTATTATTTTAATGAAATCTGACTTCAGCAAAGAAAGTCAGTCAAAGGGCTTGACTGAAAACCTTTGAATTTGGCTGTTTGTGTTTCATGACAAGTATGAACATGTAGGTATCTGAAGCAGAGCACTGAAAGCCAGTTCAGTGCTGGAGATTTGGGGGAGAGTGGGGATGGCAAGCAGATGCTTTCCTGAGTTTTGGTCACTGGGTGCTTCCTACACAGCCTGGTCTTTGTGAGAGCAATCAGAACCTCCCTTCACCCTCTCCCATACTTACTGTAAAGGTATAGGCTGGCATTTGTGACTCCCAGCTTGTTGGCAGCCACGCAGGTGTAGTTCCCATAGTGCTCCTCAGTGACGTTGGCCACCATCAGCAGAGACTGGGTCCCCGTGCTCTTTATCTCCAGACCGTTGGCGCTGTTTATCCTGGGAAGGCAGGAGAAGAGGTGTGTGTAGTGCAATGGCAGTTGTGTATTGGGAAGGAAATCACTGCCCAGCAGGCAGTAAACCAAAGTCATTCAGCCTACCTGGCAGGTGTGGGTGGAGGGAGGTAGGAAGGAGATGTGAGAAGAAAGAGACCAATGAAGGCACTAATGGAAAGCAGGAGAAGGGAATGAAAGGAGGAAGGAGTGCAGTAGGGTGAAATGCTACCAGAGAAGCAAGAAAAGACAAGGGAATGGAAGGAAGCCTTTACCCAGCACCAACTAACACTTGGAAATGAACACATCATGGCCAGATGAAAGCTAGTCACACTTGACCAAGAGGTTTTTAGTGAAACACCAATTCACATGTTCCAGAATGTGCATATACCAAAGCTGAGTCACCCCTGCGCCTGTGCACACGGGTCATGTTGAAACCTAGAATAATAACATGACAAGTAGATGCTCAGGTATAACGGACAGATCCCATTTCTCTATTCGTTTTCTCTTATATGCAAATCTAGGTGGCTCAGGTCACACAGATGGGGGAATCCTGCACCTCAGCAGCTCCTTCCCCTACATGAAGGGCACCTAGAGTGGCATTACCTACTTGGAGACTAACACTGCCTAGGTTCTGTCTGTATTATGGGCTACTTAATGCATGAACATCATCAGGAAGCACTATTGATGACTTAGTTGTGTATTGGCCCATAAATAACTTGAAGACATGAGCTCCATCCTCTGCATTTCCTTTAGCATCCCTAGCACAGAGAGGGATTTCCTCCTCTTGGCTCTGATGAGTCTGATGGGACCATCGTGACTTTCATGGTTTGTAAAGAGTCATTTGTTTGAGGAGAAGAGCTGGGGAGGACCATAGGTGATTCCCTAAGGATCTGAAAAAGAGAGGAGGGGAGAGGTGAGCTAAAGGTTTTACCTGGTATCGTCTCTGTACCACTCGAAATCAGGTGTGGGCACTGCTGACGCCTCGCACCGGAGTAAGGCTTGTCGTCCCGTGGCCGCTTCATTGCTCTTGGACTCTGTGATGGTGGGAGGGTCTGCAGGAAGGAAGCACACGGTCACATCACACACTTCCATGTGGAATGAAACATTGATACTATGCCAGGGGTGACTCCTCATGCAAACCATTTGGGCCAGTGGAGGCCCATGGCTGCTTCTTGCAGTGGCAGATGCTCCCCCTACTCCTCTGGCGAATACCTGCTCTTTGAACTCTCCCTAATACACTGTGTTAGCATCACTCCTTACACGTGCTTCTCTTCAGCAATGCTGGATAAAGTGCTGTCATAAATGCACAGCCATACACAGGCACAGTTAAGGTTAATGATGGACTTCTGCAATTTATGAATATTCACCTATGGAAGTCTGGTTCACATGGGCTCATCAGAAAGAAGACTTCATCAAGGGTAGAGGAAGACAGCAAAAGTGAAAGCGATAAAGTAGGAAGTTAACACTAGCTTGAAAAATATTTCCCATACAACCTCTGTGTCTAACATAAAAAACTGTAATAAGAAAGGAAAAGAATGAGGTAACATGTATAAGAGAAATACATTCATGGACTGAACAAGAAGAGCTTAGCAGGATCTGTGGGTGTGCCTCTGAGAGCCAGACCACTTGTTGAGACACTCCTCTGAGGTGTCTAAGGTTATAAATCCTGCCCAGACCTTCCTGGACATCATGCTTTATCACAGGCTTCCTTGTGGTTGCTCTGGGTAAAGCTTGCTTGCCTTCAGTCCGGCACAGTGCTCCCACCTCTTCTTACTTTGAAGCCTGGTGGTTGCTCCATGGGCAAATATCAGTGTGCTCCACTGGAGCTAAGTCTCAGGGCTGGCTGCGGGGCAGGTAGGGTAGGCACCAGCATGTTCAAGCCCAGCCCTACGTTCAGAATGTTAAGTCACAAGCTTTATGTGTTAAAAGGCAGATTCTTTAATGCCTGGCTGCTGAGAGGGATCAGGGAATAAGTGCCTTGTCTCTCAACACAAATACTTGCATACCCTGAGATTACGGGGCTGCAACTCAGACAGCTAAAGCTGAGATTCCAGTTACCGTCAAGCATACTCTACATTTACAGGGCAAAGCTCTGCTCTCTGTATCCATCCCAGCACCAAAAGGCAAAAAAGGAATCAAAATGGATTGTCTCAGTCAAAGAAAAAAATAACTCTGTCTGGAAAATATATGGGAAGAAGTTTGTTTGTGAACACATTAGCCCTCTCAGTGTGATCCCTTTCCTGACCTTAATCGGGATTTTATGCAGGGCTTTAGGGATATTGCAGTGCGCCCTCTAACATCATAAATATTAATAAGTGTACATAAATAGGATCCTACATTCACAGGCTGTGGGTTCACGTAAATATTTTAATTTGGGAAGGAGGAGGGGTGATAAAAGGATAGTGAAGGTGATTTTTTAAGCATCCTTCTTCGATTTTTTGTTTCGAGCCGTATATCTTCTTGCCATCTGCAGCGAGACAAACCTTTTCCATTTCACTGGAGCCAGCAGAGAGGTGAGTCACAACATGAACAGGCACCTTTCTATGGGCCTAGAAAACGACCTCGGCAGGCCCCTTGCCCTTGCCCATCCACAGACACCCTCCTTGGATATTGAAAGGACAGAGCCCACAGGGGTAGCCAGGATGTACCTGAATCACCACCGCTCCTGTTAGGGCACTGCTGCAGCGCTCTCCCAGCACAGGGGCAGGCACTGGCCTGTTGTTCTTGGGAAGCAGCCACTCTGTGTTCTGCTGTGTGCTGCTGGGAAAGCCAGGAGTGGGTTCCCTTCAGCTCTTTTCCCTCCCCAGGCCTCAGTTTCCCTGTCTGTGATGTGCAAGGGCCATTACTCGGGAAGCCTGAAGGTGGTAGTGTGAGACCAAAGCAAGGCAAAGCTCTCTCCTGCAGTCCTGGCTGACGAGCTACGTGCTCCACAGTCAGTGGATGATAAGAGGTGGCCAGGCAGCTCCTGAGGTTGGGCAGGTCCCGTTCTTCAAACTTACTGTCATTTTCCCACTTTCTGCTGCTTACAGTGTAGTTTGAGGAAACGAGATAAGGAAAGTTGTATGCAAATGTCTAGCTTTCATTCCCCAAACAGAACTGATTTTGTTTTCCTGCGTGTGGCCCTCCTGACCTCTTAGATTTTTTTCCCTTTGTTTTGAAATAAAAGCTTTGTCCTCAAGGAATCTCTAGGTTGCTTACATTACAAAGTAGGCCACATAATATTACAATACTCTATCGCATTATATTTTCATATATTCCAACAGTAAAAAGTGTTTTAAGATCTCACTGTAACACAGTTATTATGAGTTGAAACTAAGTCAAAATGGAACATTCTGACTTGATACAAACAATCTGTTTCAATCACATTAAAAGCATCATTGAAATTATGTTTCACAGAAATATTTGAAAATATTAATTGGTTCTCATGGAATGTCTTGGGTTTATAAACTCAGCTGGTTTTGACAGGAAAAAACCCTCAACAGTTTTAGTGCAGAAAATCTGTTACTGCAGCTTCACATCAATGCCAAATTTGGCCTATGAAGCAGCCGGTATTAAACCACTGCCACCCACTATCTAAGGGAATTATAACAAACTGTGCATGCTGAAGATGCTGCAGGGAGCCTATAACCTTGACTTCTGAGCATGACAGACAAGTTGATACGATGTGATGGCCCAAAGGGAAGGAACGAGACAAAGAGCAAGATTGGTATTAAAAGGTGTTAAATTCACCTTTTAATGTGGTAGCAAATTAGACTGGGATGGGCTGAAACACTTGCTGCCATCAGGTCTGTGCCTTAACCCATGCTCCGGAGTGCTGCTCATGAATCAAGGCCATGCATATGCACCCTGAAACATGTCCATAACCATCTCCAATTTCAATTTAAGTTAATACTCTGGTCTTTAAACTGAAGAAGGTCAAGAGAGGATATACCTCCCATTCATCCATCCCTGCTGCAGCAGTATTAGCCTCCAAGCAAGAAAACAGAGGAGGGATATGGGGATACTGACTTTAAATCACTCCAGTGTTAAATATGAGCAATACAAATATGGAGGTGGACATAGACACATGCAGGATTGTAAGAGTAATGGCAGTCTGAAATATCTCGTGTCCATGTGAGAGGAGCACACCGGCAGAGTGGAATTAAGCACATATGGGTGATGGGATCAGTGCCCTACTCATACAGCTATGGGTATAAGCCACACAGCTAACTGTGCCTGTCAGTGGTGATTGCCATATCCTTTGGTCAAGCCCCTTTCTGGGTTGCATTGGTGCACAGAGGGTGTCTTAGAGGCCTTTGTGCTAATGACCTTAAACCAGCATCAAAGTCAAGTTTTTGCACCCTCTCATTAACTTCTCATTAACTTCATTAGCTTCTTCCACACATACCCCCAGGACCCTAAACTGTGATACCCCTGGGCTGTGATCCCCATGCAGGCACTGCTGAGATGACTGGGTGCAGGCAGGCATGTGTTTGCTCTGAGCTGGCTGAACCCTCCCTTGTCTCTCTTTGCTTCCTTGCTGAAGCTTCTTTTCACGCTACTGTTCTCCCGAATATCAACGAGTGAGAACAAGCCATCGCCAGTGTTTCCGAGGGGAGAGACAGGGGCAACTCACAGCTCCTCTCTTTTTGTCTCTCTTACTCCCTTTTTCCTTCTTTTCTTTCATATTACCAGGTTTAAAGCACAGACTATACCCTATGATGTGTCTGATTGCAGATGGTTTCTTCGGCATCCCTCTCCCCCAGTTCGGATCACATAATATAAATCCAGATAAACCCCTATTTGTCCTAAAGTCACCCCTGCCTGTGGGCAAAGCTGTCCCTGCCGACCCGCTCCACTTGTGATGTACTCACAGTTCACAGTGACCCGGACTTGCTTGACGTCTGCTGAAGCAACCTCGTTGGCAGCTTTGCATTCGTACTTGCCCGATTGCTCTCGCGTGATCCCTAGGATCTCCAGATACTCTTCCTCACCTTCGAACTCTCTGCCTGGTAGGACAGAAAAATACAGATGGTGGCTCTGTTAGGCATTCAGATTTAGGAAGCCTTCTGCTAATTGCTAGGGAGGAATAATCACAATAGGGATTCTTCAAATATGTAACAGTCATGAATGATTCTAAAGTTATTTCAAAAGCTGTATCAGCAAGATACTAGTGTTTTATCTAGTTATGGAAAATTTGGGTTCTGGAAACCTGGAAAACCAAAGCCTTGATCTCACAGGCTGTCTAGGCCAAGCAGCAAAATCTCTACCATGTAAGACCAGAGTAGGTTCACTGGTGTGATGGCTGAGTACTGGGGACCAAAGGGCTGATTCAGGGCTAGCAGGGTCCTCAGATTTGGTGGTGTATTGCCAGCACCCTTTTCTCCACTGCAAAACTGGGGAAAATGTCTTTCTGTCTCTCAGAACAACCAGCACCCTGACGTGCCATCAATCAGATCCAGTTAAACACAGCCAAACTGAGAAAAACAAAGTGTAAACTGATCTGCAGAGACCAATAATCATCATGAATCCCTGATCTACTGCACATACGCTATGACATTTAAGCCTTGCTGCCTTGCTAACACAGTTTTGAAAGCCCTGGCTTGAGCATCGGGGTTACAGTTGGGGGCAGGACTCAGGGGAGGGCTGTAGCCTTGCTTTTAATTCACTGTGTGACCTTGGGTGAGTCACTCCCTCGCTCTCCCTCTGTCAACTGCAGCTAATAGCCCCCCTTTCCCATCACCTCCTGGTCAGAGAAGGGCGGTGAGGTTAACCCATGTAAAACACGTTAGAATCGCTGTATGAAAAGTGCCAGGAAGCGTGAAATATTAGGAGTGGTATATCTACCCTATTCCTTCAGGAGGCAAAGTAAAGGCTCCTCCTGGAAAGAATCTGAACCACATTAGTAGCAGCATGAAGGGCGATGCTTCCTTCCTTCGGGAGGGCTGCAAACAGTGGCCTGCAGCATAAAAACCACAAGCCCCAGTTGCATGCGTATGTTCAGAGAAAGCATCCCCCAGCCCTCAAAAGGCTTAAAGCCAGATTTCAAAGCAAAACAAGAAAAGATCAGCTCACAAGGGCTCCCATTCAGGTTTCTCAGAGTGTGGTCGGGTTTTCCAAAGCAACTCTCTGCCCAAAAGACATTTTCAGCTTGAAAGATGCCGAGCACTTCTGAAACCCTGCCCACTTCATGTAAGCGTTTAGAGTTGTTCAGTGGAGTTCAAACAGTGCCTGCGAGGACGGGGCTGTTGTCCTTGGCTCTGTGGCACTGTGTGGAAGCAGTGGGAAAGCCCCATCTCTGGAGCTCAGGCTACAGTGAATCCCACTACCCAGGCATAGGCTTGCTGCAGCACACTGGCCAGGTCAGGCTGGCTGCGCACACTGGCGATGCCTGCAGCGTACATTTCCCTTCTGCATCAGAGGCAGGGACTCCAGCCACTACAGAATCTGCTCACAACTCTGCCCCTTACACAAGAATTTTTGCCTTTTCTGTATTTTTTCTTTTCCCCAGGCAATTTTCAGGACCATTCTAGGGGAAAACCATCCCCCGTCACGGAGGCTCAGCATGAAAACAGCAGTGTACCTATTAAACTCATGTAAAGACAGTGTTTTCCCCCTCTTTCAGTGGGGCTATCCAGCAGTCCCTTTTCCAGCTCTTACCAGATGTTCAGGTGAGTGGAATTCTCACTGCTATATCTAAGCCTTATAACTGTTGAGATGTGGTTCTCGCATCCCCTAACAGTCTGCCAAAGGGTTTTAGTGCATGGCAGTAATGTATTTTACAGGGTAGGGAGGCAAAGTTGGCTCCTGATGCCCACCCAGTGCTCCAGGGCACAGGTCTGTGCAGTAGGGCTGATGCTATGGAGTGTCAGTGCAGAAGGAAGCAGAGTGGGATTTTCACAGGTACTTTTATCGCTGCAACTCATGAATATTTTAGGGAATCTTAACCCCTGCAGGACCAGGGTTAGGTGAGTCATAGTACTGGAAGGGACTTCAGTCAGCATCCAGGCAATTTCCCCAGCTTCAAGGCTGGACACATAGGTCATGTCAGGGAGACAGCCATACTCTGCCCTGCAGCCGCTCCAGACAATCTGTTCCTGTGCTTTACTGTCCTTACCACTGGAGCAGTTTCCCTGAAGTTTGACCCGAGTCTCCCTTACTGCAATTTAAAGCTATTATTTTTGTCTTAGCCGCTACAGACAAAAAGAACAAATCATTCCCTCCTTCTCTGCAATAGCCTTTTATCAACTTTTAAATCACTTATGTTCCTCCCTCAGTTGTCATCATGTTTTTCCCCTTCTTTCTTTCTTTGGCTGAACATTGCCAGGGTCTTTCAACCTTCCTCTGTAGGTGAGGGTTTTTTAGACCCTAGATCATTCTTGTTCCTTGCTTTTAGACCTCTCTGACAAGTTCACATTTTTCTGCAAGTGCAATACCCCAAACCGAACACAACGTTTCAGATGAGCTGTTATCATGGCTGAACACACGTGAAGGATTGCATTGCGACTTCTGCACCGTGCCGCTATCTGTACAGCCAGTATATTGTTTGTGTTCTTGCCAAAGCATGATTCATTTTTGGTTGGGAACTCTTTTAATTCCCAGATCTTCTTATCACATATTGCTACCTGCTAATAATGCCCTTTGAAAATCCCACTCCCAATTTGAGCTGACAACCAGCACTTCCTCCCTTTCACAGCAGCACTCCCAGTTGGTAGGTCAGCCAGTTGACTGGAAAGTTAATCAGACATCAGGGAAAGACTCACAAAGAAAAGGTTAAAATGTAATTTGCCTCTGCTTTGCAAATCATTTGCTCTGCAGTTCTGCCTTGTTTATACACAGGGTTCATTCCAAGTGGGACTTGCTTCTCCTGCAATTTGCCCTTGTCACAAGACTGTCATCGTAATGAAAAGAGGGTTGAGGGTGACTTAACCAACTCTAATGGAGTGGCACTCTCATTAAGGGTGCTGTTAATTCTGTCTGTCAGAGAACCACATCGATAGAGCTCCAAAGTGTCTTACAAGGGTACATACTTTCCTAAGGGAAGATGTTTTTCAACTTCTTCCCTGCATATGCATATGCACTTAAAGTCTAAACCGTGTACCAATTCCAGCAGGAGAGCTTTGACAGCTATGGACAAGCTTTCCCAAGACACAGCATCATAGAATGGTTTGGGTTGGAA